ACCCTTTATCAGAGGGTGTATATAATGTATTTTCTTCCTCCTTCCAGCATGCTTTAGTGGTGTAACAGTATCACACTTGGCTCCTATTCGAGGGGTCCAGGTTCGAGTTAAGGTTACATAAAATTGTAGCTAATACAAAGTACTATGTGTAAGATGATATTTAAAAGACAAACATAAATAATATGGTAAAGATAAATTAGCTTCCTTAAATAAAATGAGTTTGTGTTATGAGTTATGAATCACCTATTTGTTTTCATAAATCAGTTTCCAATTATTTTGTTATAAAAGTCATCTTAACTGAAAACAGAATATTGCATTTAATACACTTTAGTTGCGATTGCAAATTCTTTCATATAAACCTCATGACAAAGAAGTAGCTGTATGATTGTATAATTTCTAATTAATAATTTTATGTTTGTACATAGACTGAAATAAAATTACACAGAAAAATAATCTCTCGAAACAGAAATATACAAGGAAAGATAGAAAGACATTAGCTATGTTTATAAAATGGAGACAGTTTTAGCTTAACAATTATGTTACATGCAGATTTGTTTGTATTTTATTTTAATACAAAGTGTACAGCAGTAGATTATGTTTTAATTTGAGCATCTACAGTAAAATCCTATGCTTTAAAACCTTTTTTTTTTTTTTTTTTTTTTTTGTGTGTGTGTGTGTGTTTACATGCTATTTAAACTGCTTTCTTGAATGTAAGTTTACCTATAGAAACTGCTACTTACCTATGGAAAAATTTTAAAGTTTTTGGAAAGTTGTGTTTAAGTTTTTCCCATAAGTTTTTATAACATATAACCATAATATGTATAAAATTTTGATCGAATGGCATTTCATTTTGATCTTTAAATATCATTTCAAGTTCTTAAAATTTTAAGCATTGTTTTGGTACTATGTTGTTTTATTAGTACAATTTAATTTTTGATGTTCTCTACTTATGGTAATCAAACATATTCATGATATTTTCAACTATTTAAGAAAGTATTTAAACGAGGATTATATACTCATTTAGATACAGTTGGCTGTCTTCTGTTATTTTGTATGTTATTTTGTAAGTACAGTCAAAAGTCGTTAATCCAGACTCGTCGGAACTTCGGCAATTCTGGATTATCGATTTTTCCGGATTATAGATCATCAGTTTAAATATGGTAAGATGGCAGGCAGAAATTAAAAAATTAAAAATATGAAACCGTAATTTATGAAATAAAGAACAATTATGATCAATCAGTGTTTCCCAAACTTTTTTGTGCTATGCCCCACCTAATCCTCTCTAAAATTTTTAAGCTTCCCCTAGCATATACATAGTTTTTAATATTTAAAAATTGAAATTTTCATGAAAGAAACTTGAATGATAGCTTTTAGGAAGAAATGACTACGAAATTTTGTGAACAAACACAGTAAGTGAACTTTCAAAACATGGAGAACTGAAATTCAAGAAAAAACTCGTTTTAGTGAAAGTTTTTTTAATGTTATTTTAAGTATTAGTTAATTCTTTATTATTTAAATTTAGCGAGTTTCTTGCGCTTGATACTTGCTGCAAAGAAATTTTATGTCAGATTCCAATTTAGATAACTTGAGTCACAAGTCTCCCGGTTTCATCTATATCCAACCGATTTTTATTTTTAGCAGCAAATCATTTATGGCACTAATGCGGATGCATTCAGCAAAATATGAAGATGGAAACTGTAACAATAATTCTCCTTGCAAATTTTGTTGCATTTGGATATCTGATTCTGGTTTTCTCACAAAGCTATGTCATCGCTCCTTTTATATTAAATAAAGTTTTGATTGACTTATCACTTTGCATTTTTTTTAGTTCTTTTTACTGCATATTTGAAATATCAGCCAAATCCACTAGTATTGGCTGCATCATCCAAGTTGGAAAATCAATTTGTTTTAAGTTATAAAATCTTTTAAATCAGCCGATAAAATTTTCAAATGATCGACAATAACAAGTATAGCGGTAGTCACGTCACATTTTTGGAGCCAATGAGACTTTTCAAAATTTTTGTGGTAAATAGTATATGCTTGACATAATTCAAAGATAATGAAACTAAATATCTTCCTTTTGCATCATAAGTTTTATTTGCTCCTTGAAGTTGTTTATTTAATATATTTAATTCTTCAAAGATATCGGCTAAATAACTCACAATTGCCTTGTTATCGTCCGTTAACAGATTTTTCGTTTCAGGTTTGTTGCTTAAAAAATAAGTAAGAGTATCAAATAGTTCCATAAATCTTTCCAAGCAGTTCCCTTTCGACAGCTTTCTTACTTCAGTGTGAAGTACAAGTCTCATATAGTCTTCATTTTGTTCTTCATAAAATTACTTGAAAAGACGTTCACATTTGGCCCTAGCTTTTAATAGCACTGATACACTTTATAACTGAATTTAGTACTTCATTTAGAACAGGCGAATTGTTTTTAGCTGCCAGGTTTTCTCTATGAATAAGGCAATGCACAAGAAGCATTCTGGATTCTCATCTTTTATCAAATTTAAGCAACCCTTTTCTTATTCCGTGCTTTATTTTATTATCTTTGGAGGTAGTGGTGCTTTCTAATGATTTACAGAACATTTCTTCGGCAAAATTCCCTTTATGAATATATCTTACACAAATTACAAGTACAACCTCGCTGTCTCTCAAAGTTGGTTCATCCATTTGCACCGAAAATTTTCTTGTTTTCAGCTTTTCAACAAGTTGTATTTCAATATCCTCACTCATTTAATCTTTTTCTGCAAACAGTATTGTTATTTACTGGCATAGCTTTAACGTCATTGTCATCTTTTTCTAGAACAGTTTTAAATGCTGATATTGATGGTTTGATAAATTCTCCCCTATAGTACGGCTTTTCCCAGATTAAGCAATGAGTAATGAAATTTGATAAACAGCCTCAAGAGCACGATTAACACTTGCATTATGAGCAGTAAACAGACACTTTAATATTACTCTTTTTTTCAAAAATTTTCCTTAAAGTGTGAAAATAATTCAAATCTGAATTAATATCAGCATTATGTTTCGCCTTCAAGTGGGCTTCATGATGACCTAGTTTCATTGATTTGTTGGTCAGGCATTATTGGCATAAAAGGACAAAAGTTGACCGGGTATGAAACCAAATTTTAAATATGCCTCCGAATACCGAAGAATGTTTTTCCTTGCTTGCACCCCTCATTTCACTAAGGGCTGAAAGAAAGAAATATAAGATCAATATAAACAAAGCTGAAAGTAGCTACTATTGCCATTCAAGGAAAGAATAAAATACCAGTTGCCATTCCTACAGTAAAAAAAATAATAAATTCGTTGGGTGGAATGTACGAGAAACGTCTGGAAAGCAGTTATTTAAATACCTTTAAGAGCATTTAAATGTCCATGTCTACAGCGAGAATTCTTTATAAAATATTTAAAATGCACCGCAATTTAAAAACTTTTTTACGTATACATCGCTTACATTTTTCTTTATTTTAGGGGATAAAAAATGAAATTTCGAAAAATTTTGACTTCATGAAACATATTAAGAACATTTAAGTCCTTTGTCCCCTTAAACTCTGGACAAGACCATTTTCGAATTGCTCCCTTTAACAGTCACATTGCCCCCTTGTGGGGCGTGGGCCCCACGTTGGGAAACACGGATCTAAAGGATATCAAAATTTACAAAAAGAAAATGCTTAATATTTATTTGTTTACTTTATTAAACATTCTTTCAATGTAAGTTGTTTTAAGTTGCTTCGTTCATTTGATAATACTTTCTCTTTAATTCTATTAAACAGACATAATTTCTTGTTTAGTTACAAAGTTCCGTTGTTCAAGTCCTATAATTTGTGTGTCGAGAATACCGACTAATTTGTCACTCGAAATTTTTTCGTTTTCAATAACCTCTCTGTTACTTTCTTCACTATCGGAAGCAAATTATAATGATGAGGAACTTGATTTAAATCACATCAAAGACGGAGTATATCGAGATGAAATACTACATTTAGTAAAGGAATTATAAGACGAATAAAATAAAAATATCTGCCCCTGAAGATAAGGGATAGTGCTGACAGATCAACTTCCAATTCATTGCGTGCTGCAGCGTTTCCCCCCTCCCCCACACCGCCACAGAGCAGCGTGAAATTGATAAACAGATTTCGGATTTCGATAACATACTTGCGCTCTGTAAATCCTTTACATATTAGTAAATATATATCGGAAATTCTATTTGACATAATTGAAAGTTCAAGCTTACTTTTATAAAATTGCTCTAACAGTCTGCAAAAAATAGTAAGGCGGATCCAATTCGAAGATTAAGGAACAACACTATCTGCAACATTAACTGAATTAGATAATTTTAGCTTAGCTTATACCGTCTGTTATACATTAAACGCGCATGTGTAAACATTTTATGCGCATGCACAAAAGCATATTCGCAGCCGTAAAGGTCTATGTGCATGCGTCAACGCAACGCATGCGCAGAAAGTTTGTAGCTTTGAGGTCTGGATTTTGGGTGTCCGAATTAACAACTTTTGACTGTATTAGAGTAGCAGCACTTTTTTCTTTGAGACTAGATAATTGGGTCATGTACATTTGTATTATAATAATTTTTTTTATTGTTATTGTTGTGTAAAATGAACAGAATATTAATTTTATTATATGCATACTTTTATTAGATTTAATGCTGCTTTCTGTTCAAATATTTTTTTTATGCATTTTTAATATAAACAGAAATGGTTAAAATTATGGGCAGCAAAATTCATTAAATTCATCAGAGCAGAAGGTTTAGGTATAATTAAACAGCTATTTAAATTATTCTGCATGAACAGTAGTAGAAAAACTTGTCTGAACAAATTATTACTATCAAATAATTTCTTGCAAAATGAGTAGCAGATATTAGAATTATAATCAGAAACATGATGTCTAGTTAATCACATTTGCTACATTTTTCCTCTTGCTTGTTGTTCTTAAAAATTATGCTTAACTTTTGCTTTAAAATTTATAACTTTTTGTAATTACAGAAACAGAAAAGGATGATGTACCTGAGCCACAGACTGTAGATCTTACTTCAATTCCTCTTCCTGAAACAAAACCTGAATCTCGGAAGAAGGAACCCAAAATTAGGCCATGGGATATTGGAAAAACTGATTTATCCTCATTTGTTCCCGAAAAACGCGAAATAAGTAAGTTCAGTCTTTTTAATGCATGTTTATATTTCCTTGCAGATGATTTTTTTTTTTTTTTATACGAAATGTTTCTTTAAATAATTGTATTTTTTCATCTTTGCTATTATATATGAGCTGTTCAATAAATACAGACTTTACACTCCATGATTCTAAAAGTGATAATCCCTCAAATGTACTATTTTGTCAACTCCTTTCTATACATCTCTTCAGATTGCATGAAAAAGATGCATATTTCTATTTTAACATTTGATGCAAAGCATTTCCTGGTGTGAGTTTTTTTCAGTAGACCAAATACATGAAAATCACAGAACAATAATTCAGAACTGTATGTAGAATAGGGTAGCACATCCTAACCAAATTGTCAGATTTTTATCAAAGTATACGCTGTTGTATGTAACCTTGCATTTTCATTCAAGGATGTTGCTTGCAACTGCCCTTAATCTCATTCCTCAGACATTCTAGTATTCCATGGTATCAATCAGCATTCACTGTGGTGCCTTTTGATAACGAAGCAATGAAGATAGGTTTGTGGCAGCCAAAGAAAAGATTAAGAGAACCCTTCCAGCACTGAAGCCAGACTGCCATTTCTAAGGTGGTAGTGATGTAGGATGTTTCCATTATTATTAATGTCTTATGTTCTTTTTGTACATATGTCATCATCATCACCTGGATCAAACAGCATGGGTGCAAGAAGTTTGCTGCAGTGCTTTTTTCTCTTGTAATTCCTTGAACCAATTAAAACTGTCATACAGATACTGCATTTTTTGCCCCCATATACTGCATTTAACCAATAAAAAATCTGATATTTATTCACAGAAACTGGATCACAAACCATTATACATATTTGGAGGAACTGATCACCTCAGTGATTCTTATTTGAAAGTTGAAAACAAATGGCTAACCTTTTGAAAATGGCACCTATCAAGCATTTAGTAAAGGTTCATATTCAGCCCAAATCCATTTTTTAGCTATATATTACATTATTTCATTGTACCATTTGGCAAAATTACAGCAGTTATAGATAATGATGAGTGAATGGCATTATTTTGATGTGTGCTTTTTTAAGAATGACCAATGAAGTTAGTAGGGGTAAAGGGAGAGGTAATCTGTAGTAATGCTTAAATTGGTTTATGCATAGATACAGTTCTTTTGCTTAGAGAGAAAATTCTAAATTCATGGCATTTTTCAGTGCAAATAAAAAATATAAAATCCTGGAAATCCAGGGGCAATGCATTTGTTGAGAGAAAGATGCTAAAATTACCTTTATTTTCTGTTGTTTCAGGTCAAAAATATAAAATCCTGGAAATGTAGTTCATTTTATTGATTTTTCATATGTACTTAAACATACTTAACCCCTAAACATACCTTTAACTGAGTGGTTAAAACTGTGAACATCTGCTAGTTTCATTCTAGATTCTTAGTTAATTAGTTAGTTGACTCTATTGCCATTTTATTATAGAGTGAGCATGAAATTTTGTTGTTGTTGAGGAAAACTGCAGTTCAGACCATAATACCATTTAGACAAATTTTTAATTTTAGAAATATAAATTAATAAAGTTTTAAGACATTTAGCATGTCAAAATGTTAAGAAATTTAGTCTTTCATGTTCTAGTATTTAACCTAGTCTTGACTAAAAGATTTTTTGTCCTTTACTTCATTTTATTTTATATTTTAAATCTGTTTATTAAACTATCAGCTACTTTAAGCAATAACTTTGAGACATTGTTTTATAATTATAACTGTAACATCTCTTCTACCTGAATATCTGCTATGTAGTCAAGTATTATAATCAGGTTCATTTATGCAACATTTACCGTTTTCATTGTAAAATTTGTCAATGTTTATAACTGGCTTAAATATTTGAGATGAATGTGTTTACTTTATTGTTTTTACATCAGAATATTTCACATTTTTGAAAGTAGCCCACATTTGTAAAACAATATGAAATTTCTACATCATAAGCAATTCATTTGAATGAAACAAATCTTGCATATTTAAAAAAACTGCAGGTTCTAAAATTATTACACTTTCTGTGCACAGTCTTTTTTACAGTTATTTAGTTACACAATTTTATTACAGAAAGCCAGAATGAATACATTGAAGAAAGGCGAAATGAACGGCTGGAAGAGTTTGCACCACCATCATTTTACAAGTGAAACTAATTTACAGAAAATGTATTGTTCATATTTTTATAGAAATGTATATCATAAATAAGCAATGTATATAAATGTAAATAAAATTATTTATTATATTGTCTTTATGGTTTCCCCCTCCCCTCTATCTTGATAAATATAGTCAACTTAGTGTAAAATGACCTAGGACCTTTGTATATTATTTTGGTGTTCTGTGGAAATAGTCATTGTGGAGAAGTGACTCCATGCTGATATTTATTTGTCTTCTCAGAAATACTGACCACTCTTAGAGTTTAAAACTGTAGATCAATGTATAAAGCTGTAGAATTGATATGAAGTAAATAAATATAAAGGTATAAAAATAGGTAACCACAAAATTTCTATGCAGCATCCAACATTTAAAAAAAAAAAAAAAAAATTACTGACACAGAAGTTGCTGAATGATTATAGCAGAAAAGATATTTATTAATTATTGGAAGGTTATGGAAGAAGTTAGCTAACTGTACACTGCACCAAAAAAAGGAGGGAAAATTCTATATCTCCCGTTCTACTAGACATTGTTCAAATGTAGGTATTTTCTGAAATGACATGCCAGTTTTTTTCCATATTTCAATTCTACGACTCAAATTATGCCAAACTCCCAAGTTTTGTAAAAAAACATTAGTTGTTTTTAAAATTTACCTCTCAATATTTTAGCTCCTCAATGTTAATTCAATTTGGTATGTATTTATTAATATCTCTTTTTTTTTTTAGGAAACTTATTTGATTCCTTCCCACACAATTCAAAATTTAGGTTCATTCCAAATAAAATTCACCCATTTTTTTATGATTTAATTTTAAATACTTTTTATAAATTTTTGGACAAAAAATTTGAATTATAACCTATAAAAGTTTTACAATCATCTTGTATTTCTAAGCATAGGTGCAAAAAATTAGAGCTTTATATTCAAAATTTCCAAAGATGTACGTGAATTTATATATTGGCGCGTTTTGAAATTTGGCATATTTGTTGAAAGCGATAATAACGAAAATGTGGTTTACGCACTTTGTTAAAATTATTTGAAAGTAGAAACAATGTGACTTTTTTTCACTCATCCACAATGTAAAAAGGTAGGAACAATGCGACTTTTTTCCTTCCTGCACAATGGAAGGGAAAGGAAAATAGGTTACCATATATGAAGAAGTTCACCAAGTGAATTATTCTTTGCTCACACTGGAAAAAATGCACCAAGAAGTTTAATTTTTTAATTTTTCCATATATTTTACAAAATTTAATATTTAAGCATAATTTGAGTTGTAGAATCAAAATATGGGAAAAATTGGTATGTCATTTCAGAATACCTGTCAAATTTCAGAATTTTGTGTCAAAATACCTATATAAGAGAAAAACTATGTATAAATCTAATATACATCCTAAGTCGTGCTTTTGAGACATCGAAAACAAAATTTGAATTTCGTCAATCGGCCTAGTAGAACAGGAGATATAGGAACTATCCCTTTTTCAGCCCCCTTTTTTTTTGTGCAGTGTACATAAAACAAATAATAAAAATCTCAAACTATAAGAATTTATTTCTGTTCCTCATGTGTTTTTGGCATTGTTCTATACAATTAATTTAATTCTTGAGAAGATATTTTTTATTTCATTTCATATTTCCAAGCTATTTAAAAAAAAAACCTGTTTTTATATGGTTTTAAATTATAAATGAAATAATTTAAAATTAGTTTTGGGAGAGGATTTTACTTTCCACCAATGTGCCTTATCTTATAGAATATTCCTGGAAGTAAATGCTGTCTTCAAAGTTTTCATGTTTCTAGCACTATCTATCAGGTACTTGATCTAAATAGATACTTGATATTTCTATCTAATGATAGAAACTAATCTAATTTCTATCTAATGATAGATTTAAATAGATACTTGATATTTCTATCTAATGAAATAGATACTTGATATTTCTATGATAACTATCTTAAATAGATACTTGATATTTGTGTGTAAACAACCAGAGTGTTTTTCTAATATAAAAAGAAACTATACCTATTCACATCATCAGCCAGAATCCAGTAAATCAATTTCTGTTTTATGCCTACTTATAGAATCATGAGAAGTTTGTTCATTGAGATTCTGGCTAGCAAAACAGATGAGTCATCTGCAATAACTCCAGTTTACTGTAATCTGGCAATAGTTTAGCTAGTGAATGAGTATAAATTTATTATTAATTTATCATTTTATCACTACATGTGATATTTAATCTTCTTGTATCTCTTTAAGTTTCAATTACTCTTTACATGACTGGCATGAAAAAAGGACTTAACATGGATAAAATAATATATAGTGTTTCTCATTATTTCCTTTTCAATCAGTGGTGCAAGAGAATTATTTAAATTTAATTTAACTTTACTATTTTCTTGTGAACAATTCTTGGTATATTTATATTAATTTATATATATATTTTTCATTTTATAAAAAAATATTATTCAATTCCCAATTTACCGAAGTAATACCAACAATTGTAGATAATTTCACAGTTAAACTGAATACAATCTCAGGCCAAAAAGACAACTAATCTACATTACAATTAATAGAAAAATACTATTAACAATTTACTTGTATTTTCAAGTAGTTAAACTCGAGTTTGTTAAGTCAAGGCTAGCTATACTCAAGGCCTGTCAGATTACATGAATTTCCAGTTCCCAGTGACTTTTGCGATATTTGTTGCTAGGTGGAGCTCGTAACCTGCTATACTTTGGCTATAAAATCAGCTTCTGTTATGTTGATAATCTGTAACAAAAAGTATAATATTTTATTTAAAAAAATGTTGCTGTTTACTATAGTATTTCAGGATGGTGTATTATTGTGTGACATACTGCAGTTCAAAATGTGTGAAAACGAAAAATGTGGCTTTCTCTGACTTGTGGCTATGTGCAGAAACTCTGAAAGAAAGATTTATCAAGAGCATATACCAAACAGATAAATTATCCCTGTTTAGTACTGAGGAGTTGAAATTAGATGAAAATTAAGTTTTGATAAAAAAATGTTGCACATATTTTCATTCTTCTAATTTCTTTTGCTAACAGAATGATTGCATATATTTAAATCTGCTAAAACCAAGGTGGTTAGAATATATAGAGATACCCTCCTTCCATCAAAGTGAAACCAAAAAGAGGAGGGGAAAGCATGTTTTTGGTAGTTGGAGCTTAAGCAGATGCCACTATCAAATAAAAAAAGAAAAACAGTATATATAATTGTCTGTTATCATTATAAATGCTCGAATGGATGCTAGCACTAGAATTCTTCAGTTTTAATCTATAGATAAGCAATCTTAAAAGAGATCTTGAAAAATATTTCATTTCCTGTGCTGAAGTTTACAAAAAATATTTCATGTGCACTTGCAAAATTTAAGGCTACTTTTATTGAAATTTTATTTATGAAGCTAATTAAATATATTACCTTAATTAATTAAAAAGACTTCTAAGCATCATAGTTTAATCCTTCTCATCTTCATGGGATTATAACCGTTGGGATCAAACATGCCTTTATATTATTCTCTTTTATTGGCACACCTCCTGTTCAAGACATTACTTTTAAAATTAGAATTGAAAGAACAAAGCTATTATATAATGGTAATTTAGAATTAAGAAAAAGTGATTTGTATTGTTTTCATCAAGACTAGCTTAGAATTTTGTAAAAAGTAAATCTGCATGCCTTGTATTTAGGAAAGAAGGCTGTAATTTCGATCTCTGGTACTTTTATGCTCCACCTATTTTGAGACTAGGCAGATTACAGAAGATTGCCTTCAGAGTCGTGCTCACTATTTTGTGCCTTTAGAGAAATTCAATAACGCATGGTAAATCATAAATTATAATAACAGAGTAATTCTTCTTCTTTCTAATTATTTTTCATGGACTTATTTATGATGTTTCAAAATCTAAGTTGCTACAATGTACTTTGTTTTCTAATATTTTTATAACATGAACACATATAAAAAAAAGAGTATAAATGGAAGCAAAACCTTCCAATGTAATGCTAAAATGAGACCAAAAAAGAAACTTTTATTTCCTTTAATTTAGTCAAAATCTGTTCAAAAATAAGGTTCTTTTTTTTGCCCGACAATTGCAGCTTACTTTGAATATCAGTAATGTCGCAGTTACTGTTCAGAGCTCTAAATTTGTCATTATTTAAACTTATGTTTTTTAAAATTTCCTAAAACTGCTTATTTCATTACTCAAAAATATATATATATATATTCAGAACCTAAATTTAAATTCTTTTTAAATACTTTTTTTATTTTTAATTAGAAATAGCTAAATAAATTTTATTTCATAATTTAATAATATGTTATTTAAATAATTAATAGACTATAGTAACTTATACTTTTCCTCAGAGCAGTTGAAAACAGAATAAAAATTGTATGTTCAGTAGCTATCTACTAACTTCTTACTATACAAATATTTAAAAAAAAATTTGCATATAACAAGCCAGTATTCATGTCTAATACATTTCTGCCTATTATAAACATACACTAAGTGTAGGGAATGAGTAATGCCATCTTGTTATCAATAGGAAGTTTATGGAGGCCACGGAAAATGCTAAATATTTTCATACTGACAGGCCTTGAGTATAGTAGGTCTGGTTACATAAATTAAAAAACACACTTTATACAAAATGCCAAACACAAAAAGAAAAAAACACACTTTAAAAAATAGAAGGATAAACTTCATTAGAAATGAATTTAACCCACAAGTGACACTCTGAGCCCAATAGGCCCACCTGATTAAACAAACCTTTCTCAAAGCATGCCTGTTTTACTCAAGTTGTTGAGGTCCACTTTAGTCAGGTCCAAGATCGCATTCTGTTCTCTGAAGTTTCTTGCAATGGCTTTGATTTGAAGTCTTGTTTTTGATCAGATCAGGTCTTTTAGATCCAGCGAGCCTATTTGCATTGCTGTTATATAGTTGATTTGTGATAGTATAGAAAGTGGCAAGCATGCCACATAATTTATTGTGCGAGAAAGAAATGTTGCAAGAATTGTTAAACAATATATCCACTGGCAAAGAATTTATTGAAGAGATCGTAAATTTTTACTTTACATGGTACAGATTCTAAAAACAAAAATGAGAATTACA